CTCGCTGTTGCTGGTTGTCTGTTATATTTCAGATGTGAATTTGGCCTTTAGAAGATTGATCACTTTGTGGAGCCTTAGCTCATCCCCATCTTTCTTACTCTTTTAGCTTAACCTTGTGCTTCACTGGCTGGCAGAAAAGCAGTAGGGCTAAATCAGGCCCCATTTCTCCCCGTCACTGCTTAGCAATTGCAGGAGTGAGGCAAATCTGTGCTGCCTTCCAGCCTAGAAGCCCAGAGCACGTCACAGATGTTAATGAATTAAGCCTGACAATGCAGTCGGGTCCTCGGGGGAGGAAGGTAGGATGGGCCCCCACCTTCCAGCTTGGAGGCACAACAGCAGGGCTCAGACGCTCAGAGTGCTGGGTAAGTGATTAGCAATGTGGGAAGAAAGCCCTGGCTCCCACCTCTGAGCTATAATCACAGAAACGCTTGCTCAGTCTAATCCCCCGGGCTGGTTTTTTTTGCCTATTTCCCCTGGGAGCAATATGCTGACCTGCCCCTGTCTCCCTTGGCTCACCCAGCCTCAGGGGCAGCACAACAAATCTAATGTGCCAGGCACCCATGCCCCCTCCCTCACAAGTTGTGCCCGGTGATCACTATGCCAAGCAGTTTGGGTAGAGTGGAAAATTTCCCCCTCTCCACTGGCTGCATCTCCTGCTCAGTCAAGCCTAACTAAATTACGCATCGATCCTTGCCTTCTGCAAGGATGCCCAGCTCTTTGCATCTTCAGAGGAGCAGCTGTCTGAAGCATCTCTGCCCTGCCTGTAACCAGCTGGGTGGCTCTAGCTACTGCCTGAGCTGGGAGGGACAGGCAGGAGGAGTGTTAAGCTTGGGGTGGGCACTGAAGATCAAAGATCTGAGCACATCTCCACTGGGCCCATCTCCTACCAGCTCTATAGGTCCCTGAGGTGGTCAGGGCTGCAGCAGCAGCTCTGAAGCCTGCCCAGATGGAACCGAGTGGAGGTGCCACCCGGCCCCTGGAGCCCAGGAGATGTCACCACCGCGGCTCCTCAAGAGCCCAGGAAGGTCCAGCTACCTGCTCCCCCTCTCCGCGGAGAGGAGTCAGGGACGGCCAGCTGATGCAGCGGGGGGAGCTCCGGCAGCACGCGTGGCACCAGCGCCAGGGATGCCGTCCCCCCGGGTGGGATCTATGCCCGTGGATGAGATGCGGTCCCCGCGGGTGGGGTGCCCGCCGCCAGCCCCTCGGCTCGGCCCGGCCCGGCCGGTTGCCGCGGGTCGCCATTGGCTGCGGCGGGCGGGGCGGGGCGGCCCCGCCTCTGTCGGGAGCCGCCGCCGAGCCCGGCCCGGCCCGGCCCCGCTTCAACAGGCGGCGGCGGCGGAGCGGCCGCGGCGGGCAGGGCAGGGCTGGGCAGGGCAGGGCAGGGCAGGCAGGGCCGCCGGGCATCCCGCCGGGCGCCCCGCCGCCCCCCCGCCGCTGGCGGCAGGATGATCGGCGTCAACAGCATCAACAGCAGCGCGGGGCGCATGCGGTCCCGCTCCATGTGCTCGGTGCGCTACGGGCGCAACTACCGCGGCGCGGAGACCTTCT